CCCAGCTCCGACCACTTGCTGTAGATCATCTGCCGCAGGGAGCCCTCAGGCGCGCTGGCAGGGTCCGTGGGGCCTAGCAACTTCCCACGGAAGTCGGCCCAGGACATCTTCTCCGCTGGCCACTCCACCTGCTGAGCTGTCAAACAAACGAGGCCTCTTTCACAGGTTGGGCTTAAGGTCACAGCGACTTCTCCGTACACGGAGCCATCTACAACAGTTTGCAACAAAACATAACAAAACATGGAGCGCGCCAGGAGGAGAAGCATGAGTGCCAGTCTTCAGGCCGACCTCGTAGTAGTAGATGCTGGAGCCATCCGCCGTGAACTTCGAGCGCATGCCCAAGTAGAAACCATTGATGACCTTGAGATCGATAGGGGTAACTTGATGTGGAACACTTGAAAACAATTGAAACCATTTTCACAGAAGAAACTTGATCACCTACCAACGTCCTGCAATCCAAGACACATAAATGCTGTCCACCTTTCCACAATAGAAGCCGCCGCCGAACTTGATGATGCCTTCCCCCTTCTTCAGCGTTTCCCACTTCTTGCCCACCTCATCTGTTGAGATGCCCAGCTTCTTTGCACCATCCAAAGCATTGAAGACCAGCCCATCCTCTAAGACTTTGCTCCACTTCACGCCAAACCTGGGACGCATGGATTCAATCAAGTTATATATAATATATATATATATATATAAATGTGTGGTCATAGGCATGCAGGGACCCTGTTAGTGTTGGCTCCACAAGATTCACTTTACGGTGAACTCAACAGCGCCGAAAGTGATACATATAATTGAACAATGTACCAACGTTTTGTAATCACCCAGTGCCGAAGAACGGCCCGTACCTTCAGACAGACGACAACTTGCCTGCAACATCAATATTTGGCAGGCCAAAACGAACATGCTACCCCGCACTCCAATCAATTCAACCTGCTAGGAAACATCTTCTCGAATCCCTCCTTCGACTTCTCCTGGACTGTGAGGTCCTGTGGCTTCATCGTCACCGCCTTGGCCGCAATGGCGCCGTAGTGGGTGTCGATCAACTTCTTCTCATCGATGACGGTGGACTTGATTTGGCCCTCCGACTTGATGGTCCTCGAAAAACTTAAAACATGCAGTGTCAGAGTGGACCATTATGGATGTGATCACAGGGGCAAATGGCTGGTGGTCAAAACCCCGTACACGGATTCCTCAAGGAGAAACATGTCAGCCTACCAGCCAAATGATCTGGAACCCAAGAAAGCTACTCCATCCACCCTCTAGGATCCTCTAGGCCTTTCAGGGATGTTGGGTCGAGTCCGATACATGATGATGATCTATGTTCTTCTCAGTGGCAGGTCGTGCCTGGGAAGAACCAGTTGTGCATGGCTCAATGACACCCAAACATTTCCAACTCTTCTGATATTTATTGCAATATACAGTATCTGCTTGTGTTTTACCAATGGGCGTTGGGTGCCCTCCGTCTGCTCATTGCTCCAAGCTTCAAGCCCTCGGCCATGAGTTTCTGCTTCACCAGGGTCTTCACCTTCAATCCAGGGAGGTTGGTTCCCCCCCCAAAAAACCTCTAAAGATTGTCCCATACGGTTGCCACAACATCCCTGGTCTCCGACACATATTGGGAGTGAGCCTTCACCCGTCAGGGAAGATTCCAAGCACACAAGCTTCACTTTGTGCCCGAAGGGATTCTCATTCCTCATTCTTACTCGCGGACTGCGATGCTCTCAGGACAACTGACCTTTCATGCTTTCTGCGCTGGAATGCGCCTACCCTGGAGTCATCCATTGGGCCTTCTCGTGGACTGCATGGGGCTTCACGAAGACAAAGGCAGTGTGCGTCTTCCCACCGGCCTCCGAGGATGTGGTAAGCAAAGCATGGCAGAACATCCCCCGGGAAAACCTTTCTAAACTCTGCTGAGTCTTGGACTGTATAGACACCAGTCATTTTGCAAGTTCTTCTTGCCCGCTTTTATGAAGAAAACACCACGCCATGCCTGAATCGTCTCCTCAGTGGTCTTTGTGGTGATGGTGGTCACCTAGGCGGAGATGAGGTGTGGTATTGGATGGAATCATGCATGCATTCTTTCACGAATTCTTGACCGTGGGGTGGGTGTCTGCCAGTGCCTACGAATATCTCACTTCTTGCAAGCTGCTGCAATCTCCTTGCACTTCTTCAAGCATGCAGCGGCGTCCAAATCCTCTAAGAGGTCAAACAAGGACTTCTTTCCACCTGGCTCGCAGCACACACCGACAATCCCCAACCAGCGAAAGAAAAGAAAGAAAATCATCTATCTCTTCTTAAATCTTCTCATGCCAATCTATGGTTTGCTTCTTTGCCAAGGATTCCTTTGATGGTGGTGGCCCTGATCATGTCCCTGCATCAGGCATCTGCCGTCAAGGCACCTTCGAAGTCCACTTGAGGATCATTGAACCATTCATCGGTCAACGTGGGCAACGGAATGCCACTGGCGACCAAAGCTTTGCCAAAGGCGTCGGTTTCGATGGACGCCTGGAGCCAGTTGCAGCGTTCCGCCAAGGCCTCGAAGGGGCTCGCTGATCCATGGACGCCGTTGTCGCCCGTGTCCTTGCCAAGGAAATGCCGGACATACTGAGAGCATGGGTGTGGCGCTTGCTCTTGATATAAGAGATCCGAAAGACCATCTAGAATGCTTACAGCGCTGCACGAAGCAATGTTCTCGGGTTTCCAGCATGCACTGCCCCCTCACCGCCTCCCAAAAGAAGAAACTGGAACACTTTTTGGCAGGCCAAGGCGCAGGTTCAGCAAGCAATCCTGGGTCTCCACATCAGAACAGAAATCAAAAAACAGGTGTTGCGGGGTCCTGCTCACATAAAACGTCTTCCTCTCCTTTTGCTTCAAGGACCGGGAAAAGAACGAAGGGGCAATTCCAGGGCAATGTTTAACCTACTTCTTTTTCTTCTTCTCTTTCTTCTTCTTCTTCCATTTTCTCCCTACTTCCTCTTCTTGTCATTTCACAAACCTCCAGCCCACCGTCGCGACCCCACCTCACGCCAAAGCTGCTGCACACCACCTCCCACACCTGGCCCTACAAACCACCGACCGGATCTTGCAGCTCAAAGGCCCAGCTCCGACCACTTGCTGTAGATCATCTGCCGCAGGGAGCCCTC